TATATATATATATATATATATATATATATATATATATATATATATATGACAGAGAGAAAGAGAGAGAGAGACAGAGACAGAGATAATGACAGAGAGCATTCTTCTCAGTGGACAAATCTACACTACAACTTCTTTATCTATTATTCAGAGAATATTACAAAAGATGGGGAGATAGAAAAATTATAAGTGACAAACAAGGAATTTTGTTATAAAATATTCTTTCCTAGAAACAACTGCATAAACAACACTTGGATATATATATGTGTGTGTGTGTGTGTGTGTGTGTGTGTATGTATATATATATGTGTGTGTGTGTTTATATGTGTGTGTGACAATTCTCTTTCAATTAATGTAATGTCTTCTTTCATTTAAAATGTCACAATTCACTGTGCAATTAATGCTGAAAAATATTTTATCTTATATTTAAATAATATATTATTTTTTGTATTCCTCTGTGGAAGGACACCTGGATTATTTATGTATTTTAACTCTTGACATAATTTTTGGCATTAAACTTAAGATGAATAATTGAGAGATTGATTTATGTTTGACTTCTACACCAAAATATAAACCTGGTAAATGTGTGAATTCTCTTCACTTCAGTCGACAGACCTTAGAAAAACTTCACTGGCTATGGTCAATGCTATAACTACTGTTTAAAAATTTTGTGACACAGTGAACTGTAAATCTTAGCAAGTCTGCATTTCCAGTTTGGCAAATTAGATACATATTGGTAGGTGTCAGACATTTGTCTAGCTAGACCTCATGATCTGGGAACCATATTAGAGTTGTGAAGAACTCTTTAATTGTGATTCCAGATTATGACATACATTTTTTTCTATAATATTGATGTCCTGTGATGTGAGTCTGTATTAAAGATTTTTCAGAGTTCTGATATTTTCCAAATTTAAAAAATATGTTTTAGCACATATTATGGCACAAGGGCCAAGGTTAATGCTTTTGAATCACTATCACAATGATATGTCCTCTTCAGATTCAGGCTGACTAATAGCATTGCTCTTCATGACAGATCAATTGATAACATGGAAGAAGGACAGCATGTATTGTTTGAACACTTCAGAAATTCTTACCCATCATCTGCTTCATTCTCAGTGGCAAGACATGCAAATGCAAACCTCGGTTTTTATCTTAAAGGTGATAAGTATTTTGATGTTTAGTTCTCTAAAATTCTTCTCAAGTGGAGAGACAGACAAATGGTTATAACACTTTCATTTTGTCCTCTGGAGAATTCAATATCATAGATGCAAACTACTGGAGTTTCTGATTTCATATATCCAATTAATGTGTCTAAATAATTATATTACTGTAGTGTTATAAGGGTTGATGTTTCATGTTCAACCAATTAAAAACATTTCAGAAATTATTTAGTAAGGTAGTCAATATACCTGTGAGTTGAGAACAAACATATGAAATTTTGTTATTTCCACATGAATGTAGCAATGCAAATGACTGTATTAGATTATGCTTACTGTTCAACCCTATATATGGAAACACATCCACAGACTTTATCATATTACAAGACAAACAATGGGGACATACTATGTTCAGAACAGAGACCAAGGCACTTGTTATGCTGTATCAATATTTAAAACTCTTTGAAATTTCCATCATTTTCACAAGCACCTCTTTTAACTAGTCGTCTTGATACTTAGAGCATTATAATATTATCTGTCTTTGTCCTTTCAGATGATTAACATATACAAAGAGAATGTAGGCAAATGCTATCACCACCACAAGGTGTTGAATTTAAACCCATATGGACTTAAAGTTGGACTACTAGAAATGAAGAGGTGTTACTTAAATATCTAATACTCTTATTTATCTTGGAAGTCTGAATTATATTGACTTGTTACTGTTTAAATGTAAAATTGAGAAAATAACAATATACTTTCTATCACTCCAAGTGGATTAGAGATGCTTTTCTTGTACACAGTCATGTATTATGTCTAGTTTTAGCCTTCAGATGTGATGTTGTACTGAACAAGTCTTCAGATGTCCTGTCTGTAATGCCAGGGGAGTCACCATCAACTGCTATTCCAATTAAGGCAGTGTCATCTACAATGGTATCAACAGAAACTGAACTTAACTCCATCAAGAATGATACTTATCCCATCTCTGGAGTCCCCTCAAGTTTCAGTGCTGTTAGGTCAGAGACAGGATTTCCTCTCACCATAAACATCCTGAAATCAGAAGATGTTGGAACTTACTATTGTCAACAGAGTTACAATTTCCCACTTATGGTAATACAGATAATATTACAAAACCAATCAGGGAAGCAGAAGTGTGAATTTCAGCTGCCAGCTGCCTTTGGTGACATACATAGCTGTTTTGGAGCATTTCTAAGATGTAAACAGACTTGAAGTTTATAGGCACATTTAAGTAAATAACCCCTAATGGCCTTCTAAGAAGAATATGATGTACTCTGTGCCTACTACCTGATTGTCTATATGAGAAAAAGCGGCATGGAAATATAGGTTCTGTAGCTGTAGTAGTATACAAGTGAGGCCTATGTCAGTCCCTGTATAAACCTCAAAAGTCTTTGTTGCTAGTGCTGTAGGTACCTGCTGCATAGTTCTCACTCTTCTACTTCTTTATAGACAGCACCTAGTCTATATTCTGCTTTCTTTCACCAAAGCATCATTCCACAAGGAATCCCATGCCCACCCAAAAGACACAGTTGAATATAGATCCCTTACAGATTGAGAAACAGCACAGAAACCTGCTAAGGCCATAGATTTTGAGATACTGTCTCAAAACTGCCTTTCATAGGAAAACAGATTGCATGTCAGACTGAGAAGATCTATATCCATGTACATGGGACACCAGAGGTCAAAACTTAGGCCACTTGGAAACTTGCAAGATTTGATGATATTGATTACAAATTAAGAATTACACTAACTGTAACTGAATACACATTGAAACTAACTACCACTAGCAGCTGTTAAGAGGAGTGTACTAAAACTTTTATTATTAAATGAGTTGGATAGGCACAATATGTAGGATATATATATATATATAATTAAGAAATATATATAGTATTAAGAAATATATAGTATTAAGAAATATATATATATATGTACAAAATTAGTCTTAAAATTTGTATCAATATACAAAGATTTTTACCAATGAAAACCTTCAATTTTTATCAAATTCAAAATTCTCTACCAACATAACCCAATATAACTCCAATTCTGTACCAAAATATAAAGAGTTCTACCAATGTAGGATTATGGCAATAATGTTTCTTGTTTTAAGAGTAGATTCAATAATCTATCCCTATTACTTACTTTCTTATATTTGTTTTTATTACTAGTATAGTTTCATCCTTTTTCACAGTCCAGTCTTTATTTCCCTCCTAGTCTACCCTCTGTTTCTCATTCCATTTCTTATCCTCCACCTTGAAGGGAATGTCCCCACACTGTTACCTCCATCTCAAGAGACCTCCCCACCTTCTGGAGCCCCAAATCTCTCAAGGGTTAGGTGCATCTTATCTCATAGAGGCCAGACTAGGATTGACTTTGCTGTATGTGTGAGGGACATGAGATCAGCTCACGTATGCTGCCTTATTATCTGAGAGATATCAGTACTCCAGGTTAGTTGAGACTGCTGATCTTACTATGGGGTCACCCTCTTCCTCAGCTTCTTCCAGCCTTTTCCTAATTCAATCCTAGAAGTTCTCAATTTCTGTCCTTTGTTTGGGTGTATCTGCATCTGACTTTTTTAGCTGCTTGTTGGGCCTCTCAGTGTGCAGCCATGCTAGGCTCCTGAGTGTAAGAACACCATAGCATCAGTAACAGTGTCAGGTATTGAGCCTTTCCTTGTGTTGGATCCCATTTTGGGTTGGTCACTGAACCCCCTTTCCCTCAGTCTCTTCTCCATTTTTGTCTGTGAAATTCTTTTAGACAGGAACAATTCTGGATCAGAGTTTTCGACTGTTGGATGGCAACCTTGTCTCTCCACTTGATGCTGTCTTTCTACTGGAGATGAACTCCACAAGTTTCCTCTCCCCACTGTAGGAAATTTAATCAAAGGCACCTCCCTTTGAGACTTGAGATTCTCTCACCTCCCAGATCTCTAGTACTACTTCCTACCTCCCAAGGTTATCTGTTTCCATTCTTTCTGCTGGCCCTCAGATCTTCAATCATATTTCTCCCAATACCGGTTCAAGTTCTCCTTTTCCTCTCCCCGTACCCTCTTCCACCCAGCCTTCTCCTTCCCTCTGCTCAACCTCTATGATTGCATTCTTCTCCATCTCAAGTAGGATTGAGGCATCTTCACTTGGGCTCAATGGCTTGGTAACCTTCTTGAATTCTGTGGATTGTTTCCTGGGTATACTGTACTTCTATGACTAATAGTCACCTTATTAGTGAGTATATACCATGCATGTCCATTTGATTATGAATTACCTCACTCAGGATGATATTTTCTAGTTTTACCCATTTGCCTGCAAAACTCATGAAACACTCATTCTTAATAGCTGAGTTGTATTCCATTTTGTTAATGAACCAAATTTTCTGTATCTATTCTTTCATTGTGGGACATCTGGTTTGTTTCAAGTTTCTGGTTATCACAAATAAGGCTGCTATAAATATAATGGAACACTTGTCACTGTGAGATTGTGGGGCATCTTTTGGTTATATTTCCAAGAGTGGTTTAACTATATCTTTAAGTAGATCTATTTCCAATTTTCTGAGGTACCTCCAGATTGATTTCCAGAGTGGTTCCAATCTCACTTGAGTATTTTATCTTAGTCACTCTGATGGGTGTAAGGTGGAATCTCAGAGATATTTTCATTTACAGTTCTCATATGACTAAGGACTTTGAACTTCTCAAAAACTACTTCTCAGGCATTAGTGATTACTCTGTTGAGAATTCTGTCTAGCTCTGTATCACATTTTAAAAACTGGTTTATTTTGTTTGTTGGTGTCTGACTTCTCACGTTCTTTATATATCTTGGATATTTATTATCCCACTGTCAGATGCAGGGTTGGTGAAGATCTTTTCCCATTCTGTTAGCTGTTGGTTTTTCCTAATTAAAATATATTTGCCTTACAGAAGCCTTTCAGTTTCAAAGGGTCCCATTCATCAATTGATGATCTTATAGCTTGAGCCATTTGTGTTCTCTTCAGGAAGTTATCTTCTGTACCCATTATTCCCCACTTTCTGTTCTGGTAGATTTAGTGTATCCAGTTTTATTTTGAGGTCTTTGATCCCCTTGGATTTGAGTTTTATACATGGTAACAGATATGTATAAATTTACATTTTTCTATATGCTAACATCCAGGTAAACCATCACCATTTGATGACAGTACTTTCTTTTTTTATTGTTTCAGTTTGACATTTTTGTCAAAAAGCAAGTCCTGTTGAGATTCCATCTTACACCCATCAGAACCACTATGATTAAAAATAGAACTCTGGAGTTAGCACATTTTGTGGAGAAAGGGCAACACTCTTTCATTGCTGGTGGGAGTGAAAACTTGTTCAACCACTTTGAAAACCAATTTTGTGTTTTTTCAGCAAAAGTGAAGCAGCTCTACCTCAAGATCCAGACCAAGGGAGGGATCTGCGTTGGAGAGGCAAGGGAGAGGAACATGTGGTTTTCAGGATAAGGTGTGGGGAATAACAGAAGAAATGGCTAGATGGCCATGAAAATGAATGGAAATCTGCAACTGACTGTGGTAGGGAGGTTTCAGGCATGTTTAGGATGAGACAGAGTTCTGGTCTAAGGTAGGCACTCAAGGATCAATGGAGTTGACCTTAGTTCACTTAGGCTCACAGCTGCGCTCTGGGTCGGTCCTGCCAGAGCCTTGTGCTGCTGCTGCTGCTGTTTCCTGGACAGTCTCCAACAGGTGCTCTGTGCCCTGCCCACTCTCACTGAGCCACCGCCCAGCACCCACACATCTGCCCATGCCCTACAAAACCACCCGCGACCCTGCATGACAGACCCTCTGTCCTGAATGATGCAGCTGAAGAGGGTCAGGGCTAGCTCTCCTGCTCTTATGACTCAAAGTCCAGTCTCTTGACTGCCATAGGTAGATAGAGGTGAAGAGGATGTCCCATGCATGGTGACAAGTGCTAGCAGAAGTTCTCTCATGCTGCATGTATCTTCTAGGCCAGCACACCCACGGCTCCTACAATGTGTGGGTCCAGGCTCCTGTGACAACTGCAGGTGGCTAGGACAAGCATCAACTCTCTTAATTTCATGCCTTCAGAGCTATCTCTCCTACCATGCCCAGATGATGAGCTGAGCCAGTTTGGCCCAACCCTCAGACATCAACATGTCCCCAGATCCCAAATATGGATGTTTGCTGGACTTTGGTGGTGACAGACACCTGCTGATACTGTGGACTCAGTCATGGCCCCCTGGTGGCAGCATAGGCCACTACTTTACCATGGTCTTAGTTGTCATCAACAGCTACTCACAGCAAGCTGTTCCTCATAACCCTCTAGTCTCCAGTTCTGCCTCTCTTCTTTGTGACCACATTCTTCTATTTCTTCTTTTCTCCCACTTATCCACCACTCACTTGCTCGTCTTAGAAGATCTTGTAGCCTCCTGAGTTTTGGGAAGTCATCTCAAAAGAGGTCTCAAGTGTGCTATGCCCTGCTTGTGCATTATGTCCCCAGGCAGGGATCATTGTGGGCATGATCTGTCCTTTGGGCCTGGTTGGTCCTTGAGTAGTGGTCAGTTAGTGCTAGCTAGCTGTCTGGACCCCATGATGCCAGACTGGTGTGCATTTTGCCCTTTTATTGCCCTTCTTGCCTGAGTGGAACCTTGCAATGCATGTCTATCATTCCTGTCCAGGGCCCATGAACTTATGTGAGATTCTTTGATTTTCCAGTTCTCCATCCTGGGAGACAGTCTCAGACTGCCTAGTACTAGTCTTGTCTTCTCAGGCTCTCTTTATTTCAGAAAATGATAGGCTACTTACCAGTCAGACATTCACAGATCAAAATACTGAACAGATGTAGTGTCTCTCTTTTCTGCCACCTACTGACAGTCATGTGACAAAGCAACAACACCTGCAATGCTTCTATAAGGCAGTAATGGACAAGAGTCTTAATTATTCACAATTTCATAGATGGAGAAACTAGGAAAAGAGGAGATTAAGGGGATTTCTAAGGAAAGTTATGTATTTAGAGCTTTCTGATGTGTGATACCATGAGTAACCAAGGGCAGTTAATTTTTTTTTTAAAAAAGGAACAGAACAGGTGAAATCATAGATGAAGTGATTAAAAAGGAACAGAGAGATGGCTCCACAGAAAGGAGGACTGGCTGATCTTGTAGAGGACCTTCGTTCAGTTCTTAGCATGCAGCTGGTGGTTTACAACCATTTATAAATACTTTTCTAGGGAATCTGATGAGTTCTTCTATTCTGACTATCCTGGGCACAGATGTACATACATATGTACAGACAGACAGGCAGAGAGGCAGAGAGGCAGAGAGGCAGAGAGGCAGAGAGGCAGACAGGCAGACAGGCAGACAGACAGACAGGGAAACAGGCAGACAGACAGGCAGACGGGGAGATACTGAGAAATAGTAACAGCAGGAGGATCAGGTCATGGATGACACAGAGGACAGGGCATCATTGACAAATTATCTTTTAAATTTTTAGCAATGCCTATTTCACAAGGGAAACACATCCTGTTTTTCTTAACCAATCAGAATTATTTGATTGAGTTACACATTTAATAATTTCTTCTCTGTTGTATAGTTCCATTCATCAGGATATTCTTCTATGTATATTATTTTAAATAGAGCTTACATACATTAGAGATGTTTCTATAGTTATAAATCAGTGAAAAGAATTGCATTCTTTGGAGAGGTTTTTGTGGTCTGACCTCGGGCATCTAAGGGCACTGAGCTTGGGCTATGTGCTGAGGTGAGTAAGGCTTACACGTGTACTCAGCTCTAACTGGTTCCAAATGTTTTGCATGCCCTCATTTCACAGCCTTGGGGACTTCTTTATATACCAGTCACATTCTATGCCATAGTCTTTGCAGTCAGGATTCAGCATGGACATGAGGGCTCCTGCTCAGTTTCTTGGGTTCTTTTTGCTCTGGTTACCCGATAAAATGAACTAAAATGGAAATTTCACTGTTATATAGTGATGCCTGGCATTTAGGTGATTTGCTATTTTATCATGTTTACCTATATGGATATGCATTATATCTCTACTTTTAGGTACCAGATGTGACATTCAGATGACCAAGTCTCCATCCTCCCTGTATGCATTTCTGGGAGACAGAGTTACTATTTGCCAAGCAAGTCAGGACATTAACAATTATTTAATCTGGTTGCAGAAGAAACCATGGAAATCTCCTAAAGGCCTTATTTATAGTGCAACCAACTTGGTAGAAGGGGTTCCATCAAGGTTCAGTGGCAGTAAGTCTGGGGCAGATTATTCTCTCACAATCAGCAACCTGGAGTCTGAAGGTATTGGAAACTATTACTATCTACACTATGTTAATTTTCCTCTCACAGTGATACAACTCATAGCATAAACCTCCATGGAAGCAGAAGTGAGAGGCTGGGCTGCTCCGGCTGCTCCTTCTTATGTGTTACCCACTGAAATTGATTCTCAGATGTCACAGCATTTTTAGCAAAGATCATGGAGAGTCATTTGTTTTGGAAGAAGAATCTAAATAGTACTTTCTGCATCCTATCTTTTTTTTTTTATTCTTCATCTCCATCAATACAGAGCTCCAATATTGTGTCTGTCTTAACAGACAGCATAGTCTTTCACTTTGAGGTATTATAACCTAAACTGGGACTCATAAAAATAGAAGCTTCTACAGACTTCCCAAGCACAAATTGTATAAATGAAAAATAGTTTGTTAATGTCAATATTTAAGGGGCAGAGAAATATTACCTAGAGAAATTGACAGTAGAAAGGATTCTGAATTTTTGGTTTTCTCAGAAATGCTATAGCACATGTGTCAGAGAGCGGGACGGCTGCCTTAGTACCATACAGTAATGTCTCTTGAAATTCCAGCAGTGCTTACTGATGCTCCCAGCTGTCTGCAGCACTTCACATAGGATTCTTCTGGCTTTTATGTTCACAGTTCTGTTTGCAGTAATCAAACTACATCAAATCCCACTCATTACTTTTAATCCCATTGCATAAATTAAAATCCAGATTTCCCTATATAAAATCACAGTGAATAAATGGTTTTTTAAAAGAAGCTTCCAGAAATTGTATTATTAAAGAATTGATATCCAGGAGCATAGTTTTCAATACAAACAAAACACCAACACAACAATGGATATCTGTATTCTATTTCCTTGTATTTTTAGAAATTGTATGTGAATAAGATCTATTTTGTTCCTTTTAAAAAAATTTATTATTTATTTAAAGTCTATGAGCACACTGAAGCTCTCTTTACACACACCAGAAGAGAACATCAGATCCCATTACAGATGGTTGTGAGACACAAGGTGGTTGCTGGGAATTGAACTCAGGACTTTAGGAAGTACAGTCAGTGCTCCTAACCACTGAGCCATTTCTCAAGCTCTATTTCCTGTTTCTTTATGATATTCTATGTATCTATCCACCTATCTGTGTACTTACAGTTCTCTCTCTCTCTCATTATCTCTCTCCCCCTCTCTCTTCCCTTTTATCTTTTATTGTCTAAATTTTAATTAAAAATGTTTTTTTGGATTTCACATCATGCACTCCAACTACATAATCTCTCTCTCTCTCTCTCTCTCTCTCTCTCTCTCTCTCTCTCTCTCTCCATACCTGCAACCCTCCACCCTTGCATACTATCCCATCTCTGAGCATAGAAAACAATCTTCTCAAGGAAACTATAGTGAATCACAGTGTATCCCACAGTACATACATTTGTGTATTTCTTTGCTTTCAAACGTGCATCGAAAAAACTTGTTGGCATGATACAAGAGGACTCAGGCTTCTGCTTCTCTATCAGTACTGGAACATCATTGGGACTTATATTAGATAAGCTATTGTTGTCCTGTATCATAAAGATCTTCTAGTTTTTGATTTGTAGGACTTGCTCCATTATGCATTCTAGTGAGTCATTGATGGGGTAGATGTTGTAGTGGAGCAATTCAAAACCCTGGTTCTAGGCAAAGGTTATCTTATCTAGTCAGTTCTGCTACCCCTTCCTCATGCCCTTTTTGTAGGCTCACTAGGAACATCCACAACCAGTGCCAGCTCTATCTTGCTGTCTAGGTAAGGTGCAAGGCCAACTCTTCCTGAGGATCCAGCTGGTGATGGACCTGACCTGTTCTACCACTCTCATGACCCCAGGACTAGCTCTCCTTCTTCCCATAAATGGTGAGGTCTTGCAAGTGTTATAGTATGTGCACGGGTCTGTTATTGGGTTGAATTGTGGGTCCCACCTCTCTCTCTCCATGTGTCTAGGGTCTCTCATGGAGACAGAGGTGTGGGAATTCAGCTATGTTCACCCCACACTTGTGCCAAGCAGACATGGAGCAACAGGACTCCACTCAGGGTGGGGGAGTATAGTCTGAAGTCACACAGGGAGCCAGAACTCTTGGGTTGGGAATCTACATACAAACATCAAATCAACTATGCTGATCACCATTATTCAATTCTTAATTAACCACCAGTTTCCTTTTACAGACAAATTGTTGCTGCCTATCCCAGATATGTATTTAATATTATATTTTTCTTCCTCAGACTGTGCTCTCTCACAGAGAGTGGAGTTTTGCAGCTTAGCACATCCTGTTGTCCATGCAGTGCCAGCATAGAGTTAACACAATCAAATTACCTTGCTTCTGTCTCCAGGAGAGTCTCTAGCCAAGTGGTGAGACAGAGGCAGGCCATACAAATCAGCCCAACAGGATTCATGCACACTACAATACAACAATATGTGATGAAGGAAGGTAGGAAGGTCTCTATTCTTTGAGTGTACCACTGCCCTGCCTTTGGTGATGGCTCACCTGCATCCAATACATACAGAGCAAGTTCTAGGTGAGATACACAGCCTTTTTTTTTCATGCGATGTGGCAGGTGAGTGTCAGAGGCAGCTCTTCTGATCTCATGACTCCACTGAGGCCAACTATCCTGTCCACTGCCAGTGGCAAGTACAAAAAAGGGGATGGATTGTCTTTCTAAATGCTCCCACTGAACAACACACAATTGTCAGGAACTGCTCTCCCACACTCACAGGCTCAGGGCTAGCTCACTTGCAAACCTCATATCCAATGTCAGCTCAAGTATGCTGTCCAGATGAGGTTAAAGGACTGCTCTCTGGAATGGTGCAGCAGGTAAGGGACAGAGCCACATCTCCCCCACTGATGGCTTCAGTACAAGATTTTCTATCTCTTGTAGGTGGCACAGGGTAGACTGGGCTTCTCTTCCTAGACCATAGAACTACATAGCAGAAAAGTGGTAGTACCCACATTCCCACTATCAGGGCCTCAGGTCCAGCTTTTCTGTCTTCTGCCAACAGGGACAGCTCTACTGTGCTGCACAGGCAACATGTAGAGGCCTGCTGTCCTTCACGTTGCACCTGAAGAGGGAAAGGACAAGCTCTCCTGCTTTCATAAGCCCAGCACCATATCTCCTGCCTGCCACAGGTGGTAAGAGGTGAGGTTGGTATTTCTCTCTCATTCATGTGCTGTACAGGAGACAAGTGCTAAGACAAGCTCTTCTGTGCTTTCTTGTATACCTGGGAAATCTTAACCACAACTCCTGCAATATGTGGGCCCAGGCTTTCCTAAGTACTGCAGTTGGCTAGGGCCAGTGTGAGCCTTCCTACTCTCTCATGTCCCTACAGCCAGCTCTTCAAGAATGCCCAGGTGAGAAGTGGGGACACTTTTGCACAACCCTCAGGGCAGTAGCACAGACCAGGGATGACTGAAAGGTCTATGCTGGGAACAGACCCTGTTGCTTCAGGGACAGAGAGCCAGAAATGTCTCCTGATGGCTGGCAAGTCTAGGAATCCTCCATGGTCCCAGGTGGCATCACAAGCTACTCACATCAGGATGTTCCTCATAATCCTTCATTCTCTAGTTCTGCCTCTTTTCTTTGTATCCACATCCTTCTGCTTCAAC